GTATATTTACACAAACCGGAGAGCTACAATGTCGCCTTATGGGACCACTGTCACACACTCAGTCCTAGTTAACAGCATAAAAGAACTGTCATCGTGAAATGTCAGTATGTGTCATAACCGTGCATGATGTACGTGGCACGTACACCCACGGGGACAGCAAGTAGATTAGTGACTGTTTGCGGCTCGGGGGTAGAGGATGGGGATTACTAATGAGCATGGGTTTCTTTTGGGGGTGCTAAAAGCATGGTGGATTGAAATGATTGTGAAGTCTTATGAGTATACTAGGAACCACTGAATGACATGCGTTGCCAGGGAATCTTTTAAACTGGGTGAGGTGGCACACGCCTTTAATCCCTGCCCGCAGGAGGCTGTAGGCACGAGAATCACAAATTCAAGGCTAGTTTAGGATACAGAGAATCTAAAAATTAAAAACACCAAGAAAAACAAAAGGTAGTTTTATCGACATTCAGTGAAACTGTCCTTGTAAAAAAGGGGTTCAGCTAATGAATGAAGGAGGGATAACAGAATTAGAACCTCACCACTTTGCAGGTGACAATAATAATAGATCTAGGGCATGACCATCATTGGCTGCTAAAGCCCAGATTAAAATCTGACGAGGAGTTTCCTAAGAAGTAAATCAGAGTCACAGTATCTGACCCCTGATCACCCAATCTCAAGATTCAGACTCTTGGAAAACGAACAGGACAAATCAAATAAAAGAAAGAACAGACAAAACCAACCAATGGGCTTAGTATAAACTCTGCTTCTATCAACCAAAATGCCCACATTCAGGAACATCAGACTAACAACTGGAATTGTAAATTTTTTGGTGTCCTAATGGTACTACAATTGTGATCTTTAAAAGGAGTCTGTATCTGCTGGAAAGACACTGAAATATTTATGGATAAAGTTAACAGCACTTGGGATCCATTTCTAGTAACACAGAGGAAAAGCAAGATCATTGATCCCGGGAGACTGCAGTGAGTCAGGCCCGGCAGGAGCGGGTGAGGAGCACACAAGAATTCAACGCGTCGCCCTCTATTCCTGCACGTGTGAAAACGCCCGATTAACAGTGTTCGAAGACTTTGCTAGCCCTTTTTCTGATTAACAGCGACAAAACATGCTGCACACGTTCGACCTCCCCTCACGGCCCCAGGCGTGATGCTGGCCACGGCAGGCAGTATGTAGCATCCCCTAAAGAATGGCCCATCTGCCTCAATACCCCTGCACAACCCAGGGGTAGATCATCACCCCACCCTTTCCACTACGCCGCAGACTGAGCCCTTATGATCTGAATGGGAGGAGGAGAGGTTGGCTGATATTTTAATGTGCGTACTTTGCCTGCCCCTGCACTGAAAAACGCTGTCCCTTTAGAGGGGTGTGGTATACCAGGCTGAAGATGTGTGGGGTCTTCAGCTGGGGATGTTACAGGCAGCTGAGCCAGTTAGAAATAGTATAGGCAGTCAGACAGGGCCGGGCTCTCAAAGAAGCCAGATGTCTGGTGACCTTGGAGGGGACAGACACCTCCTGCTGTGGGCCAGATCTCCAGACAGAGGGCAAAACAAATGCAGCCACACCCTGAAGTGTAACCCTTAGGGATTAGGTCTGGATCACCTTGAGAGGCAGGAGTCACGTCCCAGACCCCTATAGGAAGTCACTGACATGATTTCCTTTCCCATTTGTCCCTGATTTGGTCCATTTTAGCTGAACAATTAAACTTGCTAGTTGACCATGGTTCTGTCCCACCTCATGCCCATCTGCCTTGCGAGTTCCCAGTTTTCCCCAACTTTAAACCCGCCTCGCCTCACGATTTTACTCTATAAAAAAATCCCAAGAAAATATAGAATCTTTGGCAACCCACTCGGGATCCTTTTCTCTCAATAAATATTCCTACTCTTAACCTCCGTTGTCCCTAAATTCATTCTTCGATTTTAGAGAATACGAACTCATACCAGATGTACAGTAGGTTGGGAGTTTCGTTCTCCTAAATCAGGGACCTCTTAACTCCTACTCAAAGGAGAGCCTGGACTCACTGTATGGACTGTCCAGCCTCATTTCTCAGTCACTCATGGTGATGTTCAGTGTTTGGCCACCTTGTGGCTCCCGGTGTTTATAAGATTAACAGAAGGCTCTGTGCTCCACAAGCCATTTCAAAAGGCCTGGGACCACATCTCCTCACAGCTGACGCACACACCACACGTGTGCAGAGCCATCCGGGGCGGGCTCGTGCTCAGAAAAGTGGCAAGCAGTGCAAGCCAGCTTTTTCTTTCTGGACAGTATGATGTTTTTAAAAGATCAATTCCATAAAAGCAAATAAAAGCCTGTATTCCTTTTTCCTTCAACTTGTCCAAAAAACTTACATTAGTCATGTCATTAAAGAAAAAGGCCATTTCAGCATGAATATTGCCATCTTTTTGGAACGTTCTTCCCCCGAGTTTCATCTCATTCCATTAAATGCAAAGGAAAAAATATTTGCATTTTTGTAAGAGTAAGCAATGCAAAATTAAATTCCTGACCCTCCATGTGCTGTGCCCAGAGGCGTTTAGTGCCCCAGGGTCCCTGCATTGGAAGGATGACCTCAGTGCAACCACAGCCAGAGATGGGGCTTTTCCGATGTAGGTCTGGCAGAGGCGGAGGAGGATATGGTGGGCACTGCCCCAAAGGGGCTGAGGCAGTTCTGGGGTACCCGTTCAGTTCTCGGGAGAGCAGCTGTAAGTGCCAGCTGGCCCGAGGCGCCTCTCTGACCACCTGTTCTCTCCACACACATCCTACCACCATGTACCAACAAGTTTTGTGGATTTTCAGCCTCTGAATCTGTGAATTAAACAAATCTCTTTTCTTGAAAAATTACTCAGCCCTCAGTATTTTATTAGGCAACAGAAAACAGATGAAAAACACCAAGTGACACCACACCACATAAACTTAAGCAGATGTAAACAGAATTGAACATCTAATCTCATTCTGGTCCCAACCACCACGTCTGCCCCTGCGCACCCCCACGTCAGGGGCCTCTAGGTGACAGCTGCCCTCGTGGTATCAGCCCTGGGATGGGTAACGTATGTGCAAACTGGAGCCAGGCCTAGAACAAGCAGCTAGCAGAACCAATGTTAGGGGCTCTATCCACCCTGGCCACTGATTGGGAGGTAGGGATGGTGATGGCCCTGAAGCCAGGCCCAAGATCAGTGTTTTTACAGCAGCTGAACTTTGAGAAATAAATAGCCATCTGCAGGGCACCAATCTGAGACATGCCCAGACCAAGAATGTAAACACAGGAAACTTCCAAGGGCCCTCTGAACTTGTCTTTGTTCCCAGGAGCAGCCCTGGGCACCTGAGGCTCCTGTTCAGAGCTCCTTCTTCAGGGCCTTTCCAAGAAGCTCAGCCCAGCCCACTGAGCAAACTGAAATGGAAGGTGTGAATCTCACAGCCAGCACCCAGGCAAGAGAACCCCAGGCCCCTCCACACCTGGTGCACTTCCCCAGCACAGCCCACTTGACGCCAACTGCATAGCCTGGTTCTCAGCTCCCCCTGCACCCCAGCATCACAGCCTGAACCCAGCTTGTGCTGCTGAGCTGAACAGAGGCGCCTACCCCGGCCTGTCACTGATGCTGTGCCACCAGAAGCAATCCGAAGAGCAAAAGACGAGGCTCTGAAGACTGCCCTCTGCACTGCCTCTTCCTGGCAATGTGACTTGAGGAGGGCACTCTTGATCTACAGAAGGAAAAGCTAGACCCACCTTGGAGATAAAAATAGACGCAAAGGGTCTTTTGAAAACATAAAGCACACAGTACATGTAAAACTTCATTCTAAAAATAAGAGTTCTGATAGTTCTTCGTCCTCCCTCTTCTCTCCTGCTCTCTCCAACTGGGACAATCATACTAGCATGGTCTCATTCCCACCTGATCTTTATTTAGCACGCTCCTCTCTGGCAACTCGAGATCTCTATACTTCACAAGCTCATCTCCAATAGAGAGCTGCTCAGAAGGTTGAATGATTTAGTGAGCCCACCAGGCAGATATCGGTCCTATTATTAAAAAGCAAAAGGTAGCTTTTCAACCCAGAAAATGTGGACTTTATCCCAGAGAAACCGCTAACCTTACAGTCGATGTCCCATTGCTTCCACCGGGCCACACTGAGTGGAAGAACACACATAAATGCGCCTAGGCCAGGCGAATGGGTCTCGTTCCCACCACTCTTCCCTCCCCACCACTCCCGCAGCGCTCTGTGCACCTGCCATCAGCACCTGATATCAGGTGTTGGCCAGCTCCATACTTCTCCTTCGATATCAGGGTGGCTGGTCCTCACACTAACTCTAGGCTCCGCCACAGAAGTGACCATCTGCTGTCCCTCTGCAGCTATCGCCATTCATGCTAAGTGCCGTTCAGTCTAGAAAGTGATAACCACTTTTTCATGGGGGAGGGGCCAGCAGCACAGCCCTGCCTAGCAAGCATGAGGCCTGAGTTCCGTTCCTAGTACCCAAAGAAACCAGATAATCACTTTTATCGGAAGAGTTAGCCAAAACTATCATTTCTTTGGTCAAGAGTTAGCAGAAAGATCAAGACCAAGCAGGCAAAATTCAGTGTTTGCAATGGCTAAATAAGCCAATCAAATAAAGGAGCAAGGCAGGGACTTTTCAAACCATCTAAGAGGTGGCACCTAAGGTCCAGTTGCAGTCTCCTTGAGGAGAATGGGCCTCGTTTGGACATATCATTTGGTGTTCTAGAAGGACCTAGAACCCTGACACTTATGTGAGCATGTTCACGTTTAATCAGGAACAAATTCAGGGCGTTTTAAAGGTGAAGCTCAGACTAAACACTTCTGGGCAGAGATTCTCTGAGGGCCCCGGAGTGGGACCAGGTAGGCTATGTCTCCACCGCAGCTCCATGGCACCCACGGCAAGCCAGATGCAACTCTGACCAGACCCCTTCATTGTGACCACCTTGCAAGGCTCATTCTCTAACAGAAAACGGACAGCAGAGAAAAGACACAAAAGTAGCTCTTACCCTGATGCTGGTGCTGCCACGTACTCTGCCCTCATCCTGCACGGCGGAACGGCCATCCTCAGGCAAAAAGCTCCACCCTGCTCCCTGCACCGGACGGCAGCCTGCACACAGGCATTTAGTGGCAGTGAGGAAAGAAGAATCCCGTTGTCCAGTGGAACAAGCGGAAGCCGTCGTTGGAAAGGAGCGGCAGCCTGCAGAAGGAAGCACACAGCAAGCTGTAACTCCAGAAAGAAACACGCCCAGACTTTCCAGCTCCCACAGAATGAATTCTCCAGCTCTAATTTGAAATCACCAGATTTCAAAGCCTTGCCAAATTCAATTTTTCTTTATCTGTCTGCTATTACATTTCACGAGTGCTAATGTGGAGTCCTTTTTGTGTCAAAAAAAATAAAAATACAAATTTCTATTTCCTCTGAATAAAATGAAGGAAGCAAACAAATTCCAGTCCCAACAAGCTGAGCCTGCACTGGGGTGATGCCTTCCCACGGACTGGCACCCGCTTTCTCATCAGGTCCAGAAAGGGGAGAAGAAAAAAGAATACTGATTCTGAGTGAAAGCCCTGAAGATGTACCTCTAGGTGTATCCGCCATTAAACAAGCGCTCACAGCAGCCTGAACGTCCGCCTGCCGACCATCTCCTGGGTTTTGGGGTCACAGCCCAGTCCCAGGTTGGCCCCAGCACAGTCCTACCAGGGCTCACAGACTCTAATTTGAGCAAACAAGTGACACGGTCCTGGCCCTGTGGTGGCGTGGAGCCGGTTCCCGCAGCAGCACAGCTCCTGCGTGGGTCCCAGCAAGGGCAGGGCCAGCAGCACAAGGCCAGCTCCACAGCGGGGGCCTCGATGGAGACCAAGCAGAAAAAGCGCAGCACTGCGGATCCCTGCATCCTGAACTCCGGAATGGAGCTCGTGTGGAGGAGGTAGAGAAATCCCAGCGGGGAGAAATAAAACCTGCTCAGAAGCCACAGTCTCCTCCTGCTCCTCCGGCTTCCCCACCTTCTCTTCCCCCTTCAAGGCTCAGGACCAGGCAGGCTTAGGCACGCGTATTCCAGTGAAACAGAAACGCTGCTGTGTACTTTGAAGCAGCTCCACTGCACAAGACAGCCTTCTCTTCCCTCTCAGGTGCCTTCTCAAATGCAGCACATTTTAAGGGAATAGAAACTTAATCTGCCTAGGAGGAAACTCACTAACTGCAAACAGCTTTGATATCACGACATTAATTACGGATGGAAATAATTAACAAAAGCGCTATTCAGGACTAAAGAAACCCAAGCATCGCTAGAACCTCACAGCACCCGCCCACTGGGCACTGCCAGCCCACCGAGTACCAGTCCAGCCCGGAGACAGTCCTCAAGGCTGCCGGGCATCTTCCTTCCACAGACACTACCAAGGGGCCTGCAGCTGGTATCTGACAAATGAAGCTCATTTTTCTGCCCTGCCACAGAAACTCAGAATTCCTAATCCTATTTTCTGTCACCAGGATTTCTTTCCTTCTTTCTTTGTTTTAATTTTTTAAACTGCAATTTCAGGAGAGACGTAACACCAGCCCCTGCTACTTCCTATTCTGCATTTCTGCAATTCCCCACCCCCTCGGGACACTCAGCTTCTCAACGGGAGTTGTAACCAGCATTTTCGGAGTCCCCAGCGTGCCAGGCACGTTCATAACTTCACACCCATCTCCTCTCTCCTCAACCACTCCCGCCGGCAAACGCTGCCATTCCTATTTTGCAGGAGGGATACCCTGCCTCAACGAAGCTAGCTGCCCAGAGTAGTCTCACAACTGACAGAACCAGAGCCAGCAGTCAAGACCAGAGGAGCCCGTCGCTCTGCTCCCAGTCCACCTGGAGACCAAGCCCCAAGGGATGACCCGGGTGGTAAGAGGGGAGGCAGAGCATGACCCAGACCTGCAGGCCATGGGGAAGAGAACTGTGGACCCTCGACCTTTCTGCTCCCTGCTTAATCTCCACCCAACACCTGCACTCTCCGTGTTCGACCCAGACTGATTGGTGCCGATGTGCTCAAAAGCAGGAGACTACTGCACTTCAGCACTCACAGGTTTCTTACTTTGCTAAGAGAGACAGCAGCATCCTGGCTCACCCAGGACTGCTCCCTGTTGCAGAATCCCCTCCGCATAGTGACTGCATCTTCCTCGTACTGTCCCCAACTTGGCTGTATTTCCTGGGGTGACACTGCCTCGGGCCAAGAGGGAGAAGGTAGAGCATATGTGGTGGCATATACTGAACTCATCCATCACCGGAACCCTGAGAGCCCGTCTTGAAACAGAACCCAAGAAACAGCACACAGGCAGGAGCAGCTCACAGGAGTGACGGTGACACCTTCCACCCATCCTCAGGCAGAGGTCTTCCTCCAAGAACTCTAAAATCAGTGTCTGACAGATTACAGCAGGTGCTCCACAAACATGGCCCATGTCCTCTGCGCTGGCATAGAATCCTATATGTCTGTCCTAGTCACTATTTTGCCCATTTTCCTGAAATGCATCATGGCAGTGCCACCCTCTGAACTGAGACTGCCTCTGGTTAGGCAGTGTCCTGACTGCAATCTTCTTAGCCATGATCCCTGCCATACAGTGGAAACTCACACATCTTTTTTTTTAACCAATTCCTCTCCTCCAAGACTAAGGAGTGCACTGATGAGCAGACTCAGTGTGGATCATGACAGGAGTGGGAGTGGACGCCAAGAAAGAACATGACAAAGACAGCGTCGGTGACTGAGACAAATCCCAGAACTTGGAAAATGACGCCTTGGCCTTGTTCTGAGGCTCAGCATCTCCCATCTTGGGGGTGGGACATCTCAAGAGCAGAGCTGAGGTCCAAAACTTCAGTTTCATGTATCTTTAATAACAAGCAAAAAAAAAAAAAAAAAAAAAAAAAAAAAAAAAAAAAACCTCCTTTTATTCTGACCCCAGGCTCTGAGAGGAAGCGCTGGGGACTCCAGACCCCCAACACTCCACCAACAGCATGTAAGCTATGCAGCCACCACAAGCAAGCGCTCATTCACCAGTCCTACCTAGAGTGTAACTTAGTAAGCCAGGAAAGGTCATAGACACAGTTCTCTGCGCTTTCCAGTGCAAGTCAGCCTACAAGAGCAGCAGGGGTGAACTCATGGCACACATGTTGCATGCTTTTAAGACAATAGATGTTAATATGCCTTTTTTTATTTTCTAAACTAAAACCATGATATTCTGGTTTAATTGCAGTGTTGGCACTTTGCGACAAGTAAGTGGGTTTTATTGCAGTTTGGACACTCGGTCTCTAAAAGGTTCTTTATCGCTGTCCCAGAGCTCAGTCAGTTCTAGCACACCTGAGAGTTATTTCCTAACACTGCAAGCCTGAAAGAGTGCTCACCAGGGAAATGACAGCTTTCAGAGCCGTCCTGGCCCAGTCTGCTTCCCCGGAGGCACCTGAGCCTGCCAATGTCTACAGGAGGGGCTCGCAGCCTCCATACTCCTCCCGTGGTGGCTCCAGGGGTCCCTTCTGGTGCAGACAGACCTGGGCCACGCACAGCACTCAGTGGCCTTGGGTACTAGATGCCAACCGTGTCTGTATACACTGCTAATTGGCCCTTGGGGAGTAAATCGTCCACAGTTGAGTGCCAACACTAAAAGGGTTTTAGACATTTATTCGGGAGCTGTGAGGTCAGGAAGCTCAGAACCACAGCCCTAAAATGTGCTGACTCACTCAGCAACACCCATTCTTTTGGAACTCAGTTGTAGAATTTCGTGTCACGGTGTCAGACAACAACCAAAACTTTAAAAACAAGGAAAGATTAAGAAAGCACAACCTTCTGCTTCAAACTCAAACTCAAAGCATGCTTCATGATTTGAGTGCAAAGCCTAGGAATTTTCTCTAACACTCTGTGGACTCATCTATTCTCCGTGCTTGCTCTGAGAATGCTTCAGACACACAGCCTGCTCAACACACCCAGCCAGCTCAACTCCCTGGATTCGACGAAGCCCCAGGAAAGATGTAAATACTTGGTAGCTTTCCAGTGCTGCCACTACTCATCAGTCATGGCTCTCAGTAAAACCTGAGAGTAATGTAATGATAGGCCTGATAGAGGGTGAAATTCCACCTACGTCTCTCTTGCTTATCTAATGAGAATTGTCATCCAGTATTAATAATATTAAAATATCACAATCAGGCTACCTTAATTGGATTCACTGTGCTAGAAAAATTATACTGATATGTAAATCCTATAGTCCAAAGCAATCAGAATAATAAGTCTTCCAGGTGATTCAAATAGTAAATTACGAAGAATCTCTCAGAATTATGTACTCCTTCCAAATTATCAAATTTCAAGGACAGGTGGACACGGTACCAGGCCAGGAATCCCGTGGTTTGCAGCAGGTAACCACATGCTGGCTGTGCGTCTGTTTCTACTCAACCCCAAGAGCGGCAGGCATGCCTGGCTGGCGTGGAGCCTCCCTGGGGAGATGTGGCTCACCTCAGAGGAGAAATCATCCAGCTGCTGACACCAGCCCCATCACCCTGACTGCTCCCAGAGCTCCAGGGTCGCCCTGAGCGGCCTGCATGACTGACACCTCTCCACCCGCTCCAGGAAGGAAGGGTTAGGGTTAGCACTTCCACATCTGAACCCATGCAGTCCCCGCCACACTCCTAGACACTGTTTTAATTGGGCTCATTTTACAGATGGGGAAACTGGAAAATAGAGACATCAGCTAACTCTCTAGAGTCGACAGCTACTAAAAGACAGCTCCATGATGTGAACCCAACCAAGCTCTGTGGCCGTTTGCATAACAACTAACATGTTCCTGCATCCAGGAAAAAAATCAAAAATATCTTGACAAAAAATAAAATAATTTTGATGCATCAGACAGCATGATCCTATCTTTGTAAAATACATCCGATGAAAAAATAAATAAAACAGACACCAAAAATGTTATGCCTTCTCTCTGGATGATAGACTTCGGGGTGATTTTTGCTTTCTACTCTACCTCTCAACACTGTGTGTTATAAAATTCTTAGGAAACAGTTTTTTATTTAAGAAAACAAGACATCACAAGCAGCCCTGGAAGTGTACAAGCAGAAAGAAAAGGGGTGCAGGCCAGGCAGGAAGGAACTTACAGACCTGGGGCAGGGGGTCCTCGGCCAGCACGACCCGGTGCTGCACGTGGGAAGTGTGAGTTTCTCTTGTTCACTCCAGGCTGCTTCCAGGCAGGTGCTACCCTGGGAAGACAGAGATGGCACAATGACACAGAGCTCAGAGGTGCACAGGGGTTCACAGCTGCAGTACAGAGCACGACAGTCAGGACCACGAGGACGGGGCAGCTCAGAGAAGGCACCGAGCGAGCGGGCAGGCCAGAGTGAGACGCCTGCATCACACACAGAACACACGCAAAGACACGGGACCAGAAAGCCTGCCGGCAGACAGCAGGTCCAGGCCAAGTACCAGGATGAGCCCTGTGACGGGAAACAGTGGCGCAGATCCTTTCTTAAGTCCACGCAGAGAACCTCACCTGTGCCATAGGGATCCTTGGCACTGGGTTGGGGCGTCCCCGGGAGAGGAGATCCTGCCTGAGCAAAGGGCAACACAAAGCTTCGGCTACTCCTAGGAAGTCTTAACACGTCAGAAGCTGCCACTGGGCTCACTGAGCCGCCAGGAACTCAGCGATGTGAAAAGCCTGCACAGAATTCCAGAGCCAGCGGAACTCACGCGACTCCAGCAGGTCTGTGAGAGAGGCCAGCAGGTCCTAGAACTTACGTGGGGAAAAGCAACCCTCATTTTCAGTAATTTCTAACTGACACTGGGCAGTGCCTCCCATTAAGGTGCAGGCAGTGCCAGGGTACGGTTAGCACTGCCCACGACTCTGTGCCTGTCAGCATCCTGGATAATCCCATGTCCCATCACAGGGACCTCAGCAAGCAGTACCAGTATTACTCTGGACTCACAGTTCTTACCACCTCCTGCTAGACCTTATCTAATGCATGAATGAAGATGCACACACATTGCTAAATCATAAATCAGCTTTTCTGTTTTGATACCTGTATTCTGTGCAATCTAATTCCCTTATACCCTGTGGTTTGGGGGGGGGGTGCATTTAAAAGCACTCTTCTGAAACGTACTTCATAAGCCCCCAGGCTGCCAAAGGGGTTCCTGGCACAAAAAGGGCTGCAACCCCCCCACTAGAGTTCCCCACATGCCCACTCCCAGCTCCCAGTCCTCGATCATCTGGCAGACCACTCCCCCTGCTTACCCTAACCCTGTATCCCTGCCCCAGTCCCCTTGCCCTGGCTGATGTGCTCCCCGCAGGTTCCCCACAACGACTGCCACTGAGAGGCTGGCTCCTCACTCCCTCAGGTCTGTACTGCACCGCAGGGACTTGGCCAGAACGCCTTCCTAGGGATCCTATCTGAAATGTCGCCACCTCTCAGACTCCTGTTCTCTTCCTCATTCCCTCTTGCTTTTAATCCTTAGCACTTCCAAAAACAGACTCAGAGACAGAAGTTCTAGCCCTTTCCTTTTATTTATTTGTTCCCCAGTCCACTAGGAACTCCTTCAGTGCAGATTTTCTGTCTTACACACACTGCATTCCAAGTGCCTAAAATCCCATATACGGTAGAGAACCTCATTAATTGCTAAATTAATGAATCTGCGAGCTGACTGATGTGTGTCACATCATTTAGCCACCACCTGCTTCCATTCCACATGAATTTTTTGTTTATTTGGTTTTCTAAGACAGTCTCTCTATGTATTCCAGGCTCAGGGGGATCCTTTTGCCTCAGCCTCCCATAGCTAGAACTATAGGTAAGCTCCATCATGCCCACTACTACGGGGCTTTTAAATTCTTTCTCCCATTGTATTAATTAAGGAAATGAAATGTAACAAATTTAGAAACTGAAGTCATCATAAAAGAAAGTATCTTATTCATAGATAGGAAATAACTTTTTCCCTAATAAAACAGGTTTTAAAGACAAAGTTCTAGCCAGGCATGGTGATGCACACCTGTACTTCCAGCCCTGGGGCTCAGATAGCAGGAGCACTATGAGACTGAGGCCAACCTGGGCTACACGGTGAATTCAACACTAGCTTAAACTGCATAGCAAGACCCTGTCTCAAAATACAAACAAAAGTAAATAAATACACACAAAGCTCTGAAATGCACACACACAAGTTACTGGATCAAGTATATCATAAAACAAATTCAAAAAGTTAAATGGGAAACTAAAGATGTTATAGTAAATCAATAGAAGCTCTCTGACCCAGACTGGCATGAGAGTGGTTCGGGCAGGTGAGAGTTTGAACACAAGGTCTCCCAGCAAGACCTGACCAACCGGACAGTGCCTCTGCTCATGAGTGACGTCTGGACACTTCCGGGAAGACGGTGGAGCGGCGAGCGGCAGAGAAAACAGCCTCTCTGAGAGTCGCCATCCAGACACTGGAATGCAGCATCGTGAGGCAGACAAGAAGGAAGGAAGTGGGCCCCGGGGCCCTGGAAGAAACTAAAGCGTGAACTGAAGCCCACAGAGCAAATAAAAAAATAACTTCATTGAAAAAGAAGGCAGTAGCCAGCAGCACCTTCTCCCTGAGACAGGACTGACCCATGAGAGGAGCTGCTGGAACCTGGGGACACGCACTCACGGTGATGGTGATGGCTGACACCCCAGAGGCCTCTGCAGAGAGACGCGGCAGTGGAGGAGTGGCAGACATGAAGGACTGCACTGGCTGGTGGTGAGTGCAGAGACTCAGTCCTCCCACGGGGAGACAGTGACTGGCCGGAGCCATTCTGGATCAGGCCAGCTGAGTCCAGAGCCGGAGCTGCTGCAGGCTTCCTCTAGCAGCTCCTAGCTGGGCGCAGACCATGGGAACTGCCTGGGCTGTGGTGAGCCCCGGGGCTTCCACTACTCCACGTAAGGCAACTGCTGGCCTGCTGGGATAGCTCGGCACCATCTGGGACTCTGTGTCCACAGGCTCTCTCCTAGAGAAACCGGAGAGAATCCTAGAGGTGAACTATCTGTGTTTCTTACTTTTTTATGCTGCTGCTGCTGCTGCTGCTGCTGCTATTGTTTTGGGGTTTTGTCACTTTGTGTTCTTTTTCTTCTCTGTCTCCTTCACTGTTTTTTATGTGTGAAAGTGGTTCCTAAACTCTTCGTGGTTATGGCTCTGTCCTGTTCTTCCTTTTATCTCTTTTCCTCCAGTCCTCTCCACCAGTCTCCCCAAGTTGGCGTGATCCTTCTGTGTCCTCCAATCTTACTTTGAAACTCTTTCTCTTCTTCCACATCTATATTTTCTCCTTTAACAATTTTAAATTTTAGGGGCTGGGGATTTAGCTCAGCGGTATAAGCACCTGCCTTGCAAGCAGGCAGTCGTGAGTTCAATCCCTGGTACCGATAAAAATGAAAAAGACAAAAAAAAAAAAAACAATTTTAAATTTTAACACCAAAGACAAAGTTGAAACATTATGGACTTATATATTACATACAATTATCTGGTCTGTTTTACATCTTATTATATAATCTCAAATTGAGTTCATATGGTTAAAATTTGCAAATGAAGTGTTCACCTGATTTATTGTTTACTAGGCTGTGTTTGATGCTATTGGTACCACTATAGTTAAAAATTGACATAACTGTCCTAAACAGCTATTAGTGCTGGTATTCCATGTCTGCGATTAACTGTCACAGAAAATACAGTGGCACAGTGCCAAAGAAGCAACAACTTCTCATCTTCAGCAAAATGAGGAAGTCAGATCTTCCAACAGACACAAAACCCAAAATCCAGCTACACATGGAAGATCCTTCGGAGAAGTCGTCATCATCTAAGGGTCCTAAATACTGCCAACAAAACAACCTACAAGCATCACCCGAGGAATTAAAGAAGAGAAAATAAAATGAGAAGACACTTAAGCAAAATGCAACCTCAGACATCCAGTTCGACAGACGCAAACCCAGGGAGCAATGAGGTGGGACAATCTGAAAGCCTTCCCACCAGGTCTCTCTGAAGTGGAAACAACAAAGCAATTGAATGACACTGAAAAAAAATGAAATCAGAAATAATCTCCCAGATAATTATAGAGATTAACAAAATACACATGCTTAGGAACATTAGAGCAGACACTGGAAAAAAATAGATGAGTTTAAGCAAATTATGGAAGTACAGCATAGGAAATAGAATCCATAAATCAGATTTAAATAGACATCCAGAAGAATAAAAACTCCACTGAAAATATTTGAAGCAGATTAGACCAATGTGAGCAGTGAATCTCAGATACTGGAGACAGGTTTGCAGTTAGTGACCAGGAAAACAAAGATTTCTCAAAAATACCAAGGGAACATGAGAAATCGGTCCAGCAGCTGCTAGCTGAGACAAAGAAAAATGACTTAAGATTGATTAGAATCAAAGAAGAGACAGGAGATACCACAACTGATACTAAAAACATATCCACAGACGTCACTGTAGAAAACTTTCCTTGGTAGAGATAAAGGATTTGACATACACATAAACCAGGCATATAGAACCCCAATTAGCAATGATTAAAAAAATCTACAGCCAGGCATATCATAGTCAAGATTCGAGATATTCAATACAAGAAGAAAATACTAAAGCTGTTGAAGAAACCACCTATAAAGAAAGTCCATCAACACTACAGCCAACTACTCAGCACAAACTCTCAAATCAAGAACTTGGAAATGAAGTACTCCAAGTTCTGAAGGAAAACAACTTTCAACCCAGATTGCTGTACCCCACAAAACCATATTTCAAAATTGATGGAGACATAAGAGACTTCTATGACAAAAAACATCTGAGGAAATTTATGACCATCAAACCAGCACACCAAAATGTTCTGAAGAACATTCCAGAACGAAATAATGACTACAGTTCCATGCCCCCAAATAGAAGGACTCAACCAGGAAAGGCAAACAACTGTGGAGGGCAGGAGACAGGACGAGCCAATAAAAGAAAAGATAATATGAAAAGGCTAAGTCAATTCCTATCAGCTAAACCATCAATACTAATGGTCTCATTTCACCAGTCAACAGACGCAGACTGGCAAAATGGATCAAGAAGCAAAATCCAACAATATGCTGTATACAAGAAACACATTTAACTCAAAAAAGTTCCTACACTGAAAGTCAAAGGATATAAAACAACACTTTATATGACTGACACCCAGAAAAAGGAAGGAGTAGCTATTTGCTTTGCAGACAAAGTGAATTTCAAGCCAAGACTGATTACCAGAGATAAAAAAGGTCACCCTACTCTCTTAAAGGGAACAATCCAAGAGGAAGAGATAAAAATCATAAATATATATATGCAACAAATATCAGTGAACCCAACTACATAAAACAATTACTAACAGACAAGAAAAATCAAATAATCACTAATACAATTTGATTGTGAGACTTCAGTACTCCACTGCCACAAAAAGACAGACCAACTAGACAAAAAAATCTATAATGAAATATTAGAATCTAATCAAACATTTGAACAAATGGATTGAGTAGATGTCTACGGAGTGTTCCACCCCACAACATCAGAACACATATTCTCCCCTGAACACCTGTCATTTAAAAAACAGGCCATATACTGCCTCTCAGGACATGGGTAAGGAAATGCAAGGGAATTCAAATTATCCCATGCATACTATCAGACCACAGTCCAATAAAATTGCAAATCCATGCCAAAGGAAACCACAAGAACTTCAAAAATACATGGAAATTAAATAGCACTCTAATGAGCAACCAATGGGTCACAGGCGACATTAGAGAAGAAATTAGACAGTTTTTACAGTTGAATGATGATAATACAACATCGTGGAACTTGTGCGACACAATGAAAGCAGACTTAAGAAGGAAATTCACAGCAGTAATACCCACATCAGGAAAACAGAGCAAGAGCACATAAACAACTTAATGCTGACCCTTAAACTTCTAGAAAAAGAAGAGCAGGCTAAGCCAAAAGCTCATACAAGGGAGGAAATTATACAGATCAGAGCAGAAATTAACACACTGGAGACTAAAACATACTATAAAGAATCAATGAATTGAAGACTTGGTTCTTGGAAAGACTAAATACAATTGACAAGCCCTTAGCCAAACTTATCAAAATAAAGGAAAGACAAGACTCAAATTCATGCAATTAGGAATGAAAAGGGAAGAATCACAAC